CCGTTTTTTCCCTCCCTCCAGCTGCGACAGAGTGATTTCCCCCTCTCTCCACACTGACCTTTTCCCCGCTATAGAACCGGACACGTCCGTAGACAATCCGTCTGATGTTCCAGGCGTGATAGTTCTGCACAAAATCGGTCCCTGATACCCATCTTTGCCCACAATGCAAGATTGGGCGAAGGGATGGGGGTAGAATAAAGTGTTGCACTGGTCACCGTTTTAAAAATCATTTTACTCAATCACAGATTAGTTTTAAGATATGTGGGTCTGGGGGGGAGGAGGAAAGGGTGATCTTTGGATTTAAAATCTAAGAACTGTGTTAGTGAGAGTAATCCTTTATTTATGAGGAGGCCTCAAACGCGTGTCAGTATAAGCACTTCTTAAGCAGCGACTTGCGCAGAATTTAGCTGCATTAATGTCCAATTTTGTGAGAAGGATTTCAAATCAAATCCTTTTTTTTTTAAGGCATTTCAGCTTCTGTGCCGGGAATAGTCCCCCCGCCATGCTTAAACGTGCCTAATTTCAAACGGCTCCGACATGTCGGGGTCACACAGCTTGTATTCCCGCGCGCCAGAGATGACGCCGGTGTTGCTTTTAGCCTGTATCCAGTATCTTCTAAGCAGCCGCATCATCCCCCCTAGCACAAATCAAAGCATCCTCCGAAAAAGTCCATGTGCTTCACTTTGATGGAGTAGTTCACCATTTTCCCCTCCACCCTCCGGGTCCCCCTACTTTCCAAGTACGCTGAAGCCTACATCCTGCATTTAGAGGCTTTTAGGAAAAGCCTTGTCATTCAATAAGAGACTACCGGGGCAGCATGCTCACGCTTATCTGCACTTTGGTTTGGACTTTCTGGCGTAATGGGCCAGGTACAGCCGGCGCCCGGCTCATGCGGTTGTCCGTGGACGTCCTTGCTCTCCTCACCTACCGCCTTGGAGTGGATCCCAGTCCCCGGGATGGGGCCTTTGGACCAGAACCAAGTCTCTACCCCCACAGATGTTACCCGAGACACAGAGATATTATGTCAGCTTTTGAGTGATGCATCACGCTCTTTCCGAAACAGCGGCTCGTGACTGCAAAGATATGATGCATGTGACAAGACAGGAAATCAGTTATATAGGCAACTCGGTGAGTTAGGTTCAGATCCTGCCAGCGGGCTCTCATACGCCACGAATGAATGTGGATTATGGTGGAAATAAGAAATGTGCTTTAAAATGAATCATTACATTTAAAAAAAGGATCAAATCTAGTTCACATTTCATTCAAACACACAAAGTAGGAATATTGAGGATGTTACATTGATTTTTTTTTAGGGTTCGGGGTCATATTTTTATCCCATTTTTCTTTGTATTTATTTTTAATGACTCTTTTCCCTTTTTTCTCTCTTTATTACTGAGAATATAAATAATCCTAAAATGGATTGACACTTGCTGCCCATGAATGGCTCTAATTTATAAGACATCATGATTCAAATCAATTAAATCAAATCTATTTCAGGTCTTTCAGGTGGAATAACACTTAATATTGAGTACACTTAATGTACTCATATGCAAAGCTATAATTTCTACACAACACATATTTAACAGGGTCCTGGTTATTGTTAAAGGTTCTCAAACCTTCACTACAAGATCATGGGCTCTTTCTTGTGCTCCAATATGAGAAGAGGGGGAAAGAAAAAAAAAGTGGGAAGATTTTCGTCATTTAAAAATCATGATGTGCACATTGGGTAATTGATTTAATGAAGTTCCTATGAAACTGGAAAGTACAGGTCAGTTGAGTAACCTCCCCTCGGAGGCTTTTGTCTGATGTGGAGCTTGCGCACTCCTTTGGGAAACACATCGGGGCTAATAGGTGAGAGCACAGCTGCTGGATTTTGGGCTGGAGAGGCGCGACTTTCCCCCCGTACAGCTGCCCGACACCCCGAGTGTAAGACGGGACAAAGAATTTCCAGTTTCCCCCCCCCTGAGCTGACGATCCACGATCCAGGACTCCGTCCAAAAAAACAACAGAAAAACAAGTTATAAGTCAAACCTTTAACTTCCCTTAGAGTTATCCCCACGCAAGCTGGGATTGCGCACGGCCATAAAAGCCACACTGGCTGAAATATTCGCTTTGATTCTGTTCGAAAAGAGAGAAAAAAGTCAAAAACCCAGCTTGAGGGGCAGTCTTTGAGGGGAAGGGGTTGGGTTTGTCGGTACCGGGGAAAAAAGCGCAACTGGGCAGGCTTGTTTTTTTTGACTTCCTGGTGAAATTCCATACAGTAGAGCAAGTGGATGCGTGGATATTTTTATGGGACGGGGGAAGTTTGTTAGAAAGAAAAAGGGGGGGAAAAAAACGCCTGGAAAGTAATTTTACACTGAAGACAATGAAAGTCTCAGACACTGGAAAATTCACACTTGGAGAAAGTTTTCCAAAAACAGGTGGAAAGGCAAACCGGCGCACGTTGAGCCTCGAGATGGGTGAGACACAAAAATAACCATGTCAGAGGGACAGTTTTTTATTATAACTGCCACATTTGGGACTGTACAGTCTCGCTGCCTTCGGCCCGTTGCACGCTGGATCAGAGGCTGCAAATTTCCCGGTTACAACCTCACACCAAACCCTGAATGCCGTTTGACCCTCTGGAATAAAAAAAAAAAAGGGGGGGGGGGGTCTTCACGCGAGCTGAGCACTTGTATTGTGCCTAAACTTCATAAAAATATGGTGTGAATGTGTTCAATTCGAAGGCCTACAAATCAATAAAACAAGCAGCTGAGGGGTTTTGCAGAGACACCCCCCCTATCCTCCCTTCTTATTTCAGGGTCCTGACTTCCGTTTATCACTCACTTCTTGCGGTAATCTTATTCCACCAAGAGACTTGTGATCTATTTTTATTATTATTTATTTATTGTGAATCTGAGTGGGAAAAGGGGCCAAAGCTGTCAGACGGTGTGGTGCTGGATGAGGATGTGCTCCCTGTGTATCCACACCTGCTTTTTGTTGCCCCAAATAATAAAAAAGACGCCTTTGAATAATTGAATTCGTAAAATAGAGACGGGCGTTCTCTCTTTGGGCGTTTGTCTGTCTTCATTCTTACCCGGACATCCCACTTAATTAAGAAAAAGCCAAAAAAAAAAACTTCTTAAGGTGAGCCGGGCCTGTTGCCGGTTTATAGGACAGGTGCTTGGATCAAATGACCCCGGTTTTCCTTTTTTTTTCTCCTCCCTTTTTTCCTCCCTCTTTAACTTTTGTGACCAGAATGATCATCTCACAAGCACTTTCGGTGCGCATTGTGCCGGCGGCATTCAGAAGATGGATAATACTTGTAAAGTCTGACAAGACGGCGTTTGTTTTGGTTCCACGCTCGTCTGAGAAATTATCGTCCGGGCCTTTTAAAAAGGGCACAATTGAGGAGCGGTGACGTTCTCCGCTGCACTTTTTTTTTTGTTTTTTTTTTTGCGCTTTGTCCTCTCCAAAGTGGCGTCTGCATGTCTGACTCTGCCAGTTACTGATTTGCAGGCAGTATGTTAAGGTGGCCCATGTAAGTGATTTCCACGGACATCCCACTAAAGGAGAACAAATCGCTGACAAAGGAGCGCCTTTCCCATTCAGCGGCGTCGTTAGGACAACCAAAAAGTATTTCTCAGATAATAAGTTCTACTTCAAAGCGTTTGTCACTGAAGGGTGACTGCTTCACTCTCTTTTTTATTAAGTCCCCCTTCCTTTTTAAATGGCGAGCGAACTGTCCCTGGTTATTTCTCATCGTGTTTATTTTGAGGGTATTCATGGAGCGTTTGTTTCCAAACAAGACCTACAAGAGGACGCTCCTCGCGTTTTTTGGCCCCCTTTACCCTTATAAAAGTCCGCGCACAAAGCCGGACGAGGACCACAAGTCCCCCTCGAGTGAAGGGGGACAGATCAGAGGGGTTTTTTTCAGGAAGAAACCCTTGACGGGGCAGCTGTAAATGAACAAACCCGCAGACGTTGCCCCTCCATTGTGCTGATGGAGGTGATTCTATAGTGGGATGCCCTAAAACGTGTTGATATCTAATTTCCGGCGTATTCGCTCCATGTTGACCATCACCTTAATTGAGGCAACGTGGACTGATTTTTTTTTAAATAAAAATTGTTATTTATTTTTTCCTCAATGCAGTAAAGTCCTCAGGTCACATATCTGCCTGCACATAGAGAGGCTGAGTCCCATTTCTGTTATGGCCGGAGTTGGTTTGGTGGCACTTTGCGCAAACCGGACGTCTTCTAATGCGCCATAGAAATCCTAACGCACCACGAAGGCGGCCAAAGAAAAACGGCCTCCCTCCCAGAAACCGGCAGCCCCTTTGAAGTGGAGCACAACTGGCGTTGGTCAATTTTTTAATTCTCTGGACTGGACAGGGCCAACTCTTTGAAAAAGCAAGATCGCGCGTTTTTTTTTAATGGAGGAAATAAGAATGGGGATACTTGTTTTTATACGCTCTATACAAGGTTTTTTTTTTCTTTTTCTTATTGTCAGATATCTTTTTATCTTTTATTTTTTCCCATGAATGATTCATGCCTGGGCCGCTTTGTGCTGTCGCGGGCTTTCAGAGGTTGCGCCATCAGGGGGCTGTAAGTTCTCCCATTAGCTCAGTGATTAGTTTAGAGCAGGCTCCTCAGCTCCTATAAGGCCCGTTTTCTGGGAATAGTGGATGTTGGATTGAAATGTTGGGATAGTGAGAGAACAGACCTGCTTCACCCCCCCCCCTTTCCCCCCTTTTCCCCGTTTGAGGTGACACTGAGGATTTGTTGACTCTTACACCTCAAATGAAAACAGTATTGTATGTCAGTATACAAGTGTATTGTATTTTTTTTTCCTTGAGGAAAAAAAAAAGGCCACAGCTTCCAGCAAACATTGTACAAGAGGAGGGGAATCTCACAAACACCTGCTAAATTGAGACCATTTATGTTTAGTAGATGTCCTAATCAATATTAAATTACATTATAAGTCAATTTCCTTGAAATTATAGTCATTAAAGAGTTGTTAATTATTTACTGTGTGTGTTCTGGTATATAGATATTTTTTTATTATTAAATTCTAGCATGACTTTTGTATTGTAAATTTAATCTTGAACATCACAGATCTGCACAGTCATTGCCCTCTTTTCTTTTTATCTATAATGTCCAATGGCACCATGCACCTTAATATGAAAGACAGGTCACTACAAAAGGCATGCGAGAAAGGGGACTTTTCACATTACACAGCCTATTCAAGTGGATGTTTTTTTTCTTTTACAGAGCACAAATAAAAACAAACCAAGTGAGCTGAACAATTGAATTTGAAAAGACCATCAGCAGGGCTCTACACATCACCAAAACCCATATTATTATTATTCTTTGGTGTTTCTGTAATTCCAGTACGACACAGATACCAGCAAATAAATTACAATGTACAAAACAACACTTTTTTTGTAATTAAAACTACACAACATTCACAAGCATCAGAACAAGTACATATATACAAATCCTACAGGGTCAAAGCCCGTCAGTTTAGACATTTAGGGTCTCAAGGGACTTACTGGACTCTTTAACAAGCATTACTTGCGTATTTTGCATAAAATATAGTCTTAAATAGTTCTTAAATATTACAAAATCCCATCCAAACACATGTATTGTATAAATCTGACAAAAAAAATTAGATCCCTTAAGACACTTATGTTGACTCCTCATATTCGTTGGCTTGCTGTTTTTCTTGTCTTTTCTTTTTTCTCTCTCTCTTTAAGTTTGTAGCCCAACTTAAGAGACAAACAGATTTTTCTAAAAGAAACAGCCTCTTTTCTGGCATCCCACATTATGTCCATTAACTCTCTGATGCCACCTGTCAGGTTAAAAGCAGTACCTTTCCCTCCTGAAACGTCTTTAACGTGACAGTGATTGATTGTAGTCCATTTCTTAACTGCGAGAGGATGATGGGAGGCCACGTGGGAAGATGTGACTCCAGCACACCAGTTGAGTCTGATCTCATGCAGAGAAAGAAACCCTAGACTGGAAAAATCTGAATCACATTCAAGCACTTTTCTTAAAGTCTTTTTTTTTTTTTACCTTCAATGTCAAATCTAATTGAACTTTTAAGTTGTTTATTTAAAGGCTGTGGCTTATACAACTAAGTTAAAGTTCAGGGGTCCCTAAAAAAAAAAAAAAAAGTTTTCACATATCTGAGCCTGAAAGGTGATTTTAAAATAAAAGAAAAGATTTTTAGTGTTTACTTTCTACTGAGAAAATCTCTTAACAACCGCATCCCGGTCCCACGGGGCCAGGACGGTGCGCGTAACGCGTAAAAAGGAGCCAACCGTGGGGTGAAGAGTCAGGTGTGTGTGGAGGGGGGGGGTTGTAAACGGGCCGTCAGAGCATCGTCCTCGGGTCTGAGTTTCTGAAAGCGTCCTCGTCGTCCGAATCCGACGTGGGCACGTCGCTGGAGGGGGTGTGCAGGTGGTTGGGGCCTCCGCTGCCCTGGCACACGTACCACTCGTTGAGGTTGGTCACCTGAGGGGAGAGGGTGGCCGCGCGGCCCCGGTGCTGACCCTCCGGCGAGAGGGGGTCCCCCAGCGGGTTCGTGGAGGAGATGTAGGGGACGGTGGTGGTGGTGGTGGAAGGGGGCGGCGGGGACTTGCAGTGCACCTTCATGTGCTTCCGCAGCGAGCTGGGGTGCGTGTAGGACTTGTCGCAGCCGCGCACCTTGCAGTAATAAGGCTTGTCGCTGGTGTGCACGTGGGAGTGCTTCTTCCGGTCGCTGCTGTTGGCGAATTTGCGGTCGCAGCCGTCAAACTCGCACTTGAAAGGTTTCTCTCCTGGACAGAATGGGGAAACGGAGACAGTCAGTGTCGTGTAAGGGGGGGAAGGAGTGAAAAAAATAAATAAATAAACAAATAAAAAGCTGCCATGAAAGAACCACAGGCAGGGAAACTGATACACGCGTGTTCTGCGCCCCGAAACGCAACTTGTCAACATGACACCTTAAATAAATCAAACCAAATGCGCGATTCCTCATTGATGTGGCAGCTCACTGCTTGGACAAACCCCCCCTTCTTCATCACAAAAAACTGCTAAACGTCTCCTCCAAACCACTGCTCCACACACCCACTTGCCCTGAAGTGGGCTACGGTCCCGCGTGAACACGTGTAACTTGCCTCGAGGCCTTCTGTTTTACGTCTGTGTGCGTGTGCGTGTGTGTGTGGAAAGGGGGCACTTAGGGAGACCACCAGGAGACGTTTGTGCACCGTAGTGGAATCTGATCCCAGCCCCTCCACGCAGACACACAGACACGCTCCCACTAAAATGGAAAGCACGTTTCTTTGAAATGTTCCCTCCATCTGTATTCGAAAAAAAACACACGGCAATAACTTTGTAACCCTGAAGATCGGATTGACCTGGTTCGACCTGGACTTTGCGATTGCCTGTGTTTTTGGTAAAGGATTTATTCATCTAGGTATTTTAGAGCCTTGAGTCAGATGGACCGGTCTTGGAGGGAGTAAAAAAAAGTCTAAAAGACGCTTTTTGTTGGCTCCAATAGAACCCTCAGTCTGGCCTATAATAACAAAACTGCTCCCAGAACTTAGTTGGAGGAATTTAAGGCAGAGGAAAGTAAATCCCCCGAGATTATTTGCATTAAACTTAAAACAATAAACAGCTCTGAACCATTTTCATCGCCAAGCCCTGGCAGGTTTCTTTATTTGCGTTATTCTTCATACACACAGGGGCCAGGTTACAGTGTAAAGTTAATCCAATGATGAACATACTTGACCATCGGTGTGTCCACTCAGAGTAGGTTTTTGTTTATTTAGACACCCTGGATCAGCTCGTAACTTCATCCATATGTAAACTGCTTTTGCGTGAGCGTCCTACGCCCGAGGACAATTATATTTACGCGTGTAGTAGTATGTACGTAAGCACGTTTTACAAATCATATGCCCTAATCCTTTCACGCCTACCTCAGGCGTGCTGGTGAGTAGATTTTTAAAAAAAGTTTGCATTTTTGAACGGGCGTAAAAACAAGTACAAGAACCGTTTAAGTGTGTCATCGACTATTAACTCGAATCCTATTTTTGTGCGCAATTACGCACGGTGCTTTTGCCCATCGACTCAGTAAGCCCCAAAAAACAAAGTCTCCTCGGTTGTGTGCTGTCACGCTCGGCGATCAGGCGACATTTTTCCAAACTGGCGTGCAAGTTTGAGACAATGAGAAAGTACTGACCTGTGTGCGTCCTCTTGTGAATCTTTAGATTTTCCGATCGAGCGAACACTTTTCCGCAACCGGGGAAAGGACACGGGAATGGCTTCTCTCCTGTGTGAACTCGGATGTGATTGATCAGTTTGTACTTCGCTTTGAAGGCTTTCCCCTCCCGCGGGCATTCCTCCCAAAAACAGACGTGGGTGCTCTGCTCCGGTCCCCCGACGTGCTCCACGGTGACGTGGTTGACCAGCTCGTGCATGGTGCTGTAGGTTTTCGAGCACGGCTTCTTCTGACTCTGCTCCTGGTCGATCCACTTGCAGATGAGCTCCTGCTTGATGGGCTGCCGCATGTATCTCAAAAACGCCCCCGAGGCTCCGTGAGGAGCTGAAGCGATGTTCACGTTGAGGTTCATGGAGTTGTAGCTGTGGAGGGTGGACGCTCCGTAGTGCTCCGGCCTGTGGCCGAAGTGCTCCGGCCGGCCGTAGACGTCCCCCGGCAGACCCAGGCGCATCTGCCCGTTGAGGGCATGGTGGTGGGCGCCCGGGGACGCCTGGTCGTGGAGTCCAGTGAACAGTGAATGGGCCCCGCTCTCCGCGTGCCCGTAAGCACCTGTTGGGGAAATGAACATGCCATGGTGATGAGGGGAGGAGGCGGAACTATGCTGGTCGCCAAGTGCGTGCATAGCAGAGGCTGAGAGTTCTCTCCTGAGGATGAAGTCCCTGCTGCTTGAGTAGCCTGAGTGGGGGTGAGCCACGGGGAAACCAACTGTGGTCTGAGCAGAAGTGAAAGACGCCGCGGTCTGGGCTTCGGGATGGCTCTGAATGTGCTGAGACGGGCTAAGTTTGAGAGCATTTGTCTGTGCCATGTGCTCTGGTCCAAATGGAGTGAGTGCCACTCCGGGGTCGTTGCCCAGCTCCCCAGGGTGGAGGTGGGCATGGTGGGAGAGAGGGTGATGCCCCCCTAGCCCCGGGAAGCCTGTCATATTCTGATGAGGAAGGGGTTGAGTCGCTGCCAAATCCGCTAATCTTATCGCCGGGTTCCTCTTGCTTAAAGGGGGCTCCATAACTACACAGACAAGTCCATCCGCGGTCACCGCAATTGTTTTTTTTTTTTCTCACCACCCCGGCTTCCCCTAAAACATTAGGAAAATATGTATATAAGGGGGTCTATAAGTTCTTTTGTCCAGCTTCTAACTCTGCTTGCTCCTTTTCCCACTCTGTCCTCAAGCGATTGGCAGAACATACAACAGTTGGAGGACACAGTGGGGAATACAGTTTAGAAATGGCACTGCGGGTATTGGACGGATTTCGGTGACTGGCAGTTAGGAGAACGAAGCGATTGGCTGTCGTTCAGCGCAGGGGCTCAGCAGGGTTCCGCCCCCTCACTCTCTTTATCGCTGTTGACTCCAAAAAGTTGTACTCCCAAAGTTACCGGCGGATCCGTTTGCGCGGCTTTCTGTTTACCGCTGCTGCCGCATGTGGATGACCGAAATATCAGTTTACTTCACAAGTGCTTTCTAGTTCATCCCGGCTCTCATGGGTCCAAACGTCTGTTATCCGCCGAAGATTTAAAAAAAAAAAGTAATAATAGAAAACAGCTTCTCGTGGATGTGTGTAAAATAGTGTGAGTGATGGAAAAGCAGTGGTGAAGACTTTAGAAATAATTAATTCCCACATCATTTTTAGTAGTTTGTGTTTTGTAAACGAGAAAAAATCCATCTTTTAAAACAAAATGTGATTTGCGAGAAAAGCAGGCAGTGATGGAAGCGGAGTTTGGGGGTGTGGGGGGGGGGAGTTGTATCTCTGAACTAAAAATAAT